AAGTAGCTGGAACTATAGATGCACGCCACCACTCCAGGCTAGTTTTTGTGATTTATTGTAGAGGTGAGGTCTCACCAAGTTGCCCAAGCTGATCTCCAACCCCCGGGCTCAAGCAGTCCTGTCACCTCGGCCTCCTAAAGTGCTGAGATTACAGGCTGAGCCACTGCATCTGACCATAAGGTTTGTTTTTTTTTTTTGCGTTGGAGTCTTGCTCTGTCGCCTAGACTGGAGTGCAGAGGCACGCTCCCAGCCACCACAGCCTCGACCTGCTGGACTCCGGCGATCCTTCCGCCTCAGCCTTCCAAATAGCTGGAACTACAGGTGTGCGCTACCACACCCGGCTAATTTTTTGATTTATTGTAGAGATGAGGTCTCGCCAAGTTGCCCAGGTGGGTCTCGAACACGCGGGCTCAAGCAATCCACTCACCTCAGCCTCCCAAAGCGCAGGATTACAGGCTGAGCCACTGAGCCCAGCTCATGAGGTATTTTTAAAAGATGAATCTGGACGTGTATAGTCATTCAGGGCAACTTGAACCTATGCTCCCAGGTAAAAAATAAAATAAAATAATAAAAATTAATCTGCCTACTATTTGGAGAATGGATGAAAGCAGAAGCAGAGAGAATGGTCAAGGGTATACTGTGAAAGTCTAGGCAAGAGCCAAAGTTTGAATTAGCTTACCAGGGATTGTGACAATCAGAGTTAGACAATCAGTTAAGAGCTACCAAATTCATTTAAAAAGAGGACAACAGTTCTACTTTCTTAACGAGTTTGACCTGTACAAATATATCTCAATTTAATTTAAAAATAAGACCATTAACACTAAAACTAGTCTATATATGTTTAATGTAGCTACGAGATTTAGATAAAAGTAAAAATAATAAAGAGTAAAAAAATAAAAGCTCCTTCTAATTTTAACAAGGACATTTGTTAAGCATTCTAAATAAAATTTTGTTAAATATAAGTTCAGACTAGTGAAAATTTGACCATGAAAAATTATGAACCGAAGAACTAAGTTTTGTGTAGGAACATTAAAAAAAATTTTTTTTAATTTGTTTTGTCTAAAGACTAGCAATTGGCTTTTGATTTGGCCTGAATGGTATTTGATATGTTCAATAATTAAAACAAGATGCAGATGTTACTTAAAACACTTTGGCTTTCTCTGCAAATAAATACCTTAAAATTTACATACAGTTTAACTTCTTGGATCTAAGCACTAAATAGTCATTAAGCAATTAGTTAGCATTAAAGATTGGATAGATCAGAAGTGGGCCAGGAAAAGATCTATTTCATCTCAATGGTACTCTATAATGGTTTAGCCAACAGCATGTTGAAACCATTCACAGCCCTTTCAGAACTTCAGTGAATGAAGCTGTTACTATGTGGTTCAGAGATAATGACAATAAAATGTACTGAGGTGATAGAGAATGAATGAACCGACTTTAAAGAATACCAGAGATGATGATGCTTTTTCTTTGCTTTTCCTGTTTCTCTCAGCTAACCATTTTAAAACTACAACTGAAAACTAGAATCAGACAAATAAGCAATAAATCACTACCATGTTTATCAGTGTTGTAGATAAATCTATGTATCAGACCACTATTAAAATAGACCTAGCCGAGCTCGGTGGCTCAGTCTGTAATCCCGTGCCTTTGGGAGGCTGAGGTGAGTGGATTGCCTGAGCCCGCGGGTTCGAGACCCGCCTGGGCAGCAGCGAGACCTCATCTCTACAATAAATCAAAAAATCAGCCGGGCGTGGTAGCGCATGCCTGTAATTCCGGCTACTTGGAAGGCTGAGGCGGAAGGATCGCCGGAGCCCAGCAGGTTGAGGCTGCAGTGGCCGGGAGCGGCCACTGCACTCCAGTCTGGGCGACAGAGTGAGACTCCAACTCAAAAAAAATAAAATAAAATAAAATAGACTTAGTACTTAAAAGTGCTACAGCTAGGCAAACAGCTGTCACACATTGACATTCAACCTCAAAAAGTAAAATCTCAAACATTTTTCCCGAAAACATCAGCCTTTAAAATAATAACTGGAGTACAGGAGCGGTGGTAGCTCAAGCCTGTAATGCAACATAGAGAGACCCTGTATCTACAAAACAAAACTGTGTGTGTGTGTGTGTGTGTGTGTGTGTGTGTGTGTGTGTGTGTACGTACGTGTACAGTGCATGGTGGCATATGCCTGTCTAGCTACTCAGGAGGCTGAGGTGGGAGAATTGCCTGAGTCCAGGAGGTGGAGGCTACAGTGAGCTGGGATCAAGCCCGTGCACTCTAGCCTGAGTGACACAGTGAGACCTAACTAAAAAAAAATTTTTTTTCTAAAAAACTTAAGGTTTTTGGCCAGGCATGGTGGCTTACACCTGTAATTCTAGCACTTTGGGAAGCCAAGGCAAGAAGGATTGCCTGAGTCCAGGGGTTCAAGATCAGCCTGGGTAACATTTCAAGTCCTTGTCTCTAAAATAAATCAAAAAATTAGCCAGGTGTGGTAGCATGCACCTGTAGTTCCAGCTACTTGGAAGGCTGAGGCGGAAGGATCGCCTGAGCCCCACAGGTCGCAGTTGCAGTAGCTGTGAGCTTGCCACTGCACTCCAGCCTGGATGACAGAATGAGACTCTGATTCAAAACAAACAAACAAAAAACCTAAGGTTTTCTTTTGTGTCAAGTCACTCATTATGATCCGAACATTTGTATATTTGTACAGCTTTATCAACTCTTTTACTTGCTTTCATTTTTAAGGAACATGGCTTGCAATTTTTCTAACAAATTTTGAATTATTTTATGTATTCCTAAACAAGTAACACATTTTATCTTAAATGTCCTAAGGATGACAATATCAATTGTATGTACAGCATTTCTATGTAGATGTTTTCATACGAATGAAATATAATTGCTTCCTATATTCAAAACTAAACCCAAAACAGAATCTATCTTTTTCAAAAAATCAGTATAAAAATTACTATACTATAAAACTATTTTATGATACATTTAAGGATCGAGATTTTTTAAGCAAGTCATCAATTTGCTTTCCCTACTTTGCTCCAAAAGCATCAACATGAATCATATGTTAAATAACACCTTCTTGAACCTTGTCAAGGAAGTTCATGGGAAATACTGATTAAGATACAGTTATAAACAAAAACTAAAATTTGCAACTGCAAACCAAAAGTAAACTATGTCTGGCTCAGCTTACTTTCTTTTGCTTGTGTGTGTTGACGTCTCATGCCACACAGGCTGGAGTGCAATGGCATGATCATGGCTCACTGCAGCGTCCACTTCTTGGGCGCAGGCGATCCTCTCACTCCAGCCTTCTGAGTAGCTGGGACTACAGGTGTGTGCAGCAACACTTGGCTAATTTTTTTATTTTTTGTAGAAATGGTCTTGCCGGGCTCGGTGGCTCAGCCTGTAATCCTAAGCTTTTGGGAGGCTGAGGTGAGTGGATTGCCTGAGCCCGTGGGTTCAAGACCATCCCAGGCAACTTGGCAAGACCTCATCTCTACAATAAATCAAAAAAAAATCAGCCGGGCGTGGTAGCGCATGCCTGTAATTCCGGCTACTTGGAAGGCTGAGGCGGAAGGATGGCTGGAGCCCAGCAGGTCGAGGCTGCGGTGACCGGGAGCGGCCACTGCACTCCAGTCTGGGCGACGGAGTGAGATTCCAACTCAAAAAAAAAAAAGAAAAAGAAAAAGAAATGGGGTCTTGCTATGCTGCCTAAGCTGCTCTTGAACTCCTGAGCTCAAGCTATCCTCCTGGCTCAGCCTCCCTAAGTGCTGGGATTACAGGCTGAGCCACTGAGCCCAGCTTACTTTTCTAAACTCTAATTCTGAAGGAAGATTTCTCTAAACAGCCAGTGGATGAGATTTCAACGAATATCAAAAAACACTACAGAAGAGGGTAAAAATGTGTTAACTTTCTCCTTGGGAGTGCATCACAGTGACCCTGAGGGCCTACCCAGAATGGAAAATCACCTAGAATAGAATGTTTCACAATGGCAATATTAAAGCACTAACTCATGTACTTTAAAACAAACAATCCCACCCTTCTCAGCCCACTTTTTAATTGTAGTCCTAGCAACTGACTCATGTAACTTGCAATGATATCAAGAAGTCCCTGCTATCTTGTTTTCATGTCAGTGAAAAAAGGCATCTCTCCTTTATTATATCTTCAAAAGGTGAAATCTAAGAATCTTTAGGGGGGGTCTCATAACATCTGTGTGTCTATCTGGGCCTCGTGTACCTGTTGTTACTTATGAATTAACTATCAAATAACCATGGAATAAACAATGCGTAAAAAGAGGGCAAAAACTAGGCTTTAGGGTAATAGTAGTTACCTCGACTAAAGGATCCTCCCGGATAATTACCATTCGTTGAGCATTTGTATAACTTGAAGTTGAGAGTAAATTGTTGAGGAAATATCGCGAGCACCAGGAGTTATTCCAATGCAAAGTGCAAGTATGGTCTAAAGCTCCATATCTCAATGTCAATGCATAAAGGGAGTGAAGACAACGAGCGCAAAAAAAACCCCAGAAACCTGACCTTGCCCACGAGTCGAATAGTTCTGCAGCCCTCCCCCTAGCTTCCCCGGGAGCCTGCTCACGCAATCCCAATTGGTCAGTCGGCCGATCGCAGCCCCTGCCCGGCAGGGACAAGGGACTCTCCAGGGAAGACGAGAGGGCTTGAAAGGAGGCGGCCGGGGAAACACGAGGCCTTGGAGGAAAGGGTTCGAATGGGAAAGGAAGAGAGGACCTTCGGGGGGCGATAAGCCGGGTGACTTGGGGATAATGGGGACGCGGCTCGGGAGGACGGCCGGGGAACAGGCAAGGGAGGCGTCAGGAGGGCCCAGGTGCGGCGGGAAGATGAGGGCCGCCGGCGGGCAGCCGACAGGAAGCCCAGAGGCTGGGAGGCCTGGGCGCGGAGGGGAGAGCGGGGTGAGCGGCGAGGGGGCCGGGGCTGCAGAGCCAGGGGCGACGGAGGCGGCAGGGGCCGGCCGGGGCGTGCGAACTCACGTTCTCCCACCAGCAGGATCCGCACGTCT